AGAGAGTTCGATACGAAAAATGGAAGAGAAAACTATAATCATCCGAGAGGTAAAAAACGGAAGTCGACAGGGGTACACGCGATCGAAGAAGACTCTCATTCGGAAAATGAAATCGATTATGTTTTCCACATCAATGAGGATGAAACCATCATCTGTTCATTGGGAGGAGTGGACACGAAGATGTTGATCGATTCGGGAAGTAAAAGTAATCTCATTACAGATACAACTTGGAAATACATGAAAAGACATGGGGCGCAGGTCATGAAACAAGAAAAAGAATCAAATAAAACCTTCATGGCATATGGAAGCAGAACTCCTTAAACTATATTAGGATCATTTGAGGCCAAAATAAGTGTTCATAAAAACAGCGAAATTGCTACATTCTATGTTATAGAAGGTGGAACAAACAATTTACTGGGGAAAAATACATCGAAAGCTCTAGGCATTTTGAAGATTGGGTTAGAATTGGTGAACAACATATCCATGTTTCCAAAGTTCAAAAATGTCTTAGTCGATATTCCATTCGACGACAGTATTAAAGCAATCTGCCAACCATACAGGAGGATACCCATTCCCCTCGAAGCGAAGGTAAATGCTAAACTGGAGGAATTGTTGAATTCAGACATAATCGAAGAGGTGGTAGGTCCATCACGATGGGTTTCACCATTGGTTCCGGTTCTGAAAGGTAACGGGGATGTTAGAGTTTGCGTAGACATGAGAGCTGCAAATAAAGCGATAATTCGAGAAAACTATCCACTTCCCACCATGAATGAACTTCTCCCAAAATTCAACAAGGCACAAATTTTTTCCAGATTAGACATAAAAAATGCCTTTCATCAGTTAGAGATATCACAAGATTCAAGATTCATCACCACGTTCATCAGCAACAAAGGTCTTTTCCGTTATAAAAGATTGATGTTCGGAATTTCCTGTGCACCGGAAATTTTTCAAAAAACATTAGAACGTATACTCATCAAATGCGAAGGTACCGTCAACTTTATAGATGATATACTAATATTTGGAAGAGATGAAAATGAACACAATTCAAGATTACGAAGAACACTGAAAACACTCAAGGAGAATGATGTCTTATTGAACGAAGATAAATGTATATTTGGGGTCAAAAAGGTACAGTTTTTGGGTCACACTTTATCAGCTGATGGAATAAAACCCCTGGACAGCTATGTAGGAGTTATAAAAACCTTCAGAGCACCAAAAACGATCGACGAAATTCAAAGTTTCTTAGGCCTGGTTAACTACATAGGCAAGTGGATACCAAATTTAGGGACGTTGACAGAACCATTTAGGCAGATATTGAGAAATAAACTCGAAAAAAACGCAGATATTGGAAAATACTGGAAGACAGAACAGCAGCATGCATTCCAAACAATCAAACAGAGCCTAACACACATAAAATCATTGGGATATTATAGCCCTACAGACAGAACACAAGTCATCGCAGATGCTAGTCCAGTAGCTTTAGGATGTATATTGATACAATTCGATAACAGAGGGCCTCGAATCATAGCGTATGGGAACAAAAGCCTGACGAATTGTGAGAAGAAATATTGCCAAATGGAAAAAGAAGCCTTGGCCCTGGTATGGGCCGTCGAACACTTCAAAGTATATTTGTATGGTAAAAAAGAATTCGAACTTGTAACAGACCACAAACCTCTAGAAGTCATTTTCGGACCAAAATCTAAGCCAAATGTCCGCATAGAGCGTTGGATCTTGCGTCTCCAGTCCCATAATTATAAGGTAATCTATAAGCCAGGAAAATCAAACATCGCAGACCCGTTATCAAGACTCTGTCCCGAAAATGTTTCCAAACCTTACGATGACGAATCAATAAACAACTTAATCGAATACTCAAGACCTATAGCAATCTCTCTAGCCGAAATTAAATACCACTCTGAAATAGACGAAGAAATTGGTAAGGTCAAGAAGGGTTTATTCGATGGTGACTGGGATAAATCAGTGAGCGTGTACAAAATTTTTCACTCGGAAATATGCTTTCACGACGGTATATTGTTAAGGGGAAGTAAACTGGTGATACCAAAGAAGTTACGACAAAACGTTCTTTTAGCAGCCCAAGAAGGTCACCCAGGAATCTCAGCCATGAAAGCCAGACTAAGAACGAAGGTATGGTGGCCCAAAATTGACAATGACGCGGAAAAATTAGTGAGAACATGCAAGGGCTGTATTTTAGTTTCATCACCAGCTCTGCCCAATCCTATGAAACGGCGAGAATTGCCAGCTAAACCGTGGATTGATATAGCAATCGATTATCTGGGTTCTTTACCTAGTAAGGAATACATACTAGTTGTCATAGATTACTACAGTCGTTACAAAGAAATAAAAATAACGAAGGACACAACCGCCAGGAAGACAATCGACTTACTTCAGGAAATATTGTCAAGGATTGGCTACCCTTCATCAATAACAGCTGATAACGGTCGACAAATTGCAGGCCAAGAACTGAACAAATTCTGTCGTGAAAGTGGTATAACTCTCTTCCACATGATACCATATTGGCCACAACAAAACGGGGAAGTGGAGCGACAGAACCGAGACATACTAAAACGAATAAAAATAAGTCAATCGCTAAATCAAGACTGGAAAAAAGAACTACTTGACTATTTGGTTATGTACAATAGCACACCACATTCTGTCACGGGAAAACCACCTGGTGAGCTTTTCTTTGGTAGACAGTTCAAAGATAAAATTCCAAGCTTAATATATCTCGAAAATAAACTAGAGGACGAAGTGAGAGATAATGATAAATTACAGAAAGAGAAAGGTAAAGAATACAGTGACAAAAAAAGGAGAGCACAGGAAGACAACCTTCATGAAGGTGATAAGGTATATATTAAAGATATGCGGAGAGAAAACAAAACCTGTCCTACCTTTATTCCGGAATCCCATACGGTAATAAATAAAAAAGGAGCCGATATCCAAGTCAGAAATGATGAGACAGGTCAGGAACTAAGGAGGAACGTGATTCACCTGAAAAAAATCGAAGGAGAATGGAAGGTATCACCTCAGATAGCGGAGGAACCAAAAGAAAATAATTGACCTCGTAATTGACTTTGACAACTCGTAGTTCCCTCTGATGAACAATTATCAAGAATTCTTTTGTGTTAGTTATAGGTTGGCATTATTGTTATTGATAGAATAAAATAAGTTAGTATTAGCTAGTAACTTAAGTTCATAGGTTATGGAGGTAAGGCTGCTCCCAGATAACACGAAGACGTCCTGAAGACGTCCAGTGTCGGTCGAAGACGTCCACAGGACGTATTGGGGACGTCCGATGTTACAAGATGGAACGTCCCAGGGACGTCCATATTAAGTCCAAGTTTGGTATTTCATCGTCATGAATACCATAATCAACGTAGATTCGCCCTTTTTTTACTCAGATAGATAAACAAGACATTTATACAGAATAAAAAAATATTATTTTGAATAAAAAAATTAAAAAAATCCTTCCTACTGGGGGATCGACCCGCGACCTCTGAATTAGCAGATGCTTTACCAACAACTCTACACGACACTTATTGAATATAAGACTTACCTCTGTTCAAAATATGCGAGTATGAGATGGAAACGTAAACATTGAGTGCAGAAACACTCCACCAGCTCATTTCAATGGAATTCGCTATGAATCAGTATAAAGACCAGGACGTAAGACAATATGTGTACATAATTTCATCTTTAAGTATATCCTACGAAATCTCTGAATCCAATAAAGAGGTAATACTCTATTTAGGATAAAAATATATATGCGAACATTGCCAGATTTACTTCAATTTCTCCACATTGGTCACAAAAAATCACGTGATTCATTGTGACCTATTATCGAATTGATCGGCAGCCATGCATTTTAATAAGGGCCCTCATTCCTTTCACATTTGATCACATCTGGCAATGTTTTATTGTTATTGGAGAATATAATAAATATAGAGTGAATAATGAATATTGAAAAAATGAAGACTAAAAATGGACGTCCTGAAAACGTACGCTCTGTACGTCCCGAAGACGTACGGCATGGTACGTTCTGAGGACGTCCATATTAGGTTCCGGGACGTACGGACCCGAATCGGACGTAATATGTACGTCCCCGGGACGTCGTGTGCTATCTGGGCTTTAGTGGTTAATTTGAATAGTATTGTATAACGTATCATTATATGAAAATGTTGGACCCTAGCTGTAAGAAAAACTATTGTAATGAAGAAATGAAAAACATGGGAGAGATGTAGTATGCAGATTAGCTAATAAAGGAATGATGCACACACTACTGACTCATCGGGTGATAACGACTTGGATGATCGGGGGTTGAGTCAGTCGTTGTGTGACAGTCAGCGAGTGAAGTTTAAAGTTGTTTTATTCCAACGTGCCTTATATCCCGTGTTTAAACATAATACAAATAGTAAACGTCATTTCATCTATTATATTATTTTTTGTTCCTCACCATTCCGTTGTATACATATACCGATATTTGCGCGCTGATAGGTAAATAAACCTACCACCTAATGGAGTCATCATATTTCACTAAGAAATTCAAAACAAACTCAGGTGAGTCACAGAAACTCGTCTACTTTATCGGAGAATTAGAAATTTATGTCCACTGTTATGATATGATTATTAATTTTTGTCCACTGTTATGATATGATTATTATAAGTATTCATTGATAGTACTCATAGGTCATCCATAGTCAATATGTGAAAAATGTCTCAGTTGGTAAGATCCCGGCTTCGTAATCCAAAGGTCGCAGGTTCGAACGCGGCGACCGGTCACTTCTTTTTTTAATTTTAGGTCTGACGGTATACAGACATCGGTCCTCCCGTCGGCCAGAGTAACCTATTGACGTCTGACCGACGTCGTTTGCCGCTCTTTTGCCGCATCGGCAACTTCTGGCAAGCAGGTTTTGGGCCGACGTAATAACGACCGAAATTGTTTGCTGGGTACATTCACTTCCAGTGTATAAGCGGAAAATACTCACCATATGACCTAGCTGAATATCCTCATTCCCGATGAAATTATCGACAAGCGAATGGTAGTGTGTTGAAAAAGTAGTGCGGCATTTGATTTTCGTCAGTTTGTCCACGTAAGCTATAGCAATAGCATTTCCGTCATGAGTTGAAGTGCCACGGCCTAACTCGTCAATCAACACCAGGGAATGCTTGGAAGCATGTTGCAGAATACAGGATGCTTCGGAAAGTTCCACGTAGAAAGTGGACTGTCCCTGTATGATGTCATCTTGAGCGCCAAGACGAGTAAAGATTCGATCGATGAGGTGGAGTTGACACTTTGTTGCAGGTACAAAGCTGCCCTAGAAATGAACAGATTTCATAGTTCAATAGGGATATGAACACTTTGCCGAATGGATTAGTCGGCGAATGAATCATTTTTGAACAAATCAAATCATTCAGGCTGAAATGAATAATTTCCTGTGCGAAAATTCAGTGCGTGTGACAGTTACGTAATGAATTGCGGTTAGAAACATATCCGCCAGCTGATGTTTCAACGATCAAAATAATGGGTGTGCGCTCCGAAACGAAAAATATAAAAAAATAGGACATGTTCATAGACTTATTAGAAGATTTCTTACCATTTGTGCCATTACAGATATCACGGCAATTTGTCTCATAAGCGTTGATTTACCGCCCATGTTAGGTCCAGTAATGATCAATATGCCGGGGTGATTATCGACACCCATCTTTGTGTCATTCGCCACGAAATTGTCTAAATTTGTGATGCAGGGATGACGTCCGTCGACTATCTCAATTTTGGGCTAGAACAAACGAAATGAAATTGATGTTCGAATCCCCCCAAAAAAAAAGTTTTGTCAAGATATTCCGGGTTCATACAGGGTGGAGAAATCGCCTGCACAATTTTTAAATTGATTGAACGGAGAAAAAAGAGGAAGACTTTCAACTATGACCGATTGACCGAGAATTGATTGTATGATTTATTTCAATAATCAAATAGTTTCAGGATTCTAAAAACCATTTAGACAACTGTTTTATACTTTTATAAATAAGTATGTACTTGTGAAATAACCTGGGATGATGTGGAGCAATCTAAATAAGGTTTACGTTTTTTATTATAAAGAAATCTCTTAATGAATGTTGCTGCTCAATCGCCTTGATTAAATATTAAGGGCGCGCATCGCAGTGAAATAGTTCGCCCACAGACACCAGCGAAACTATAAATATATCACAGCCGTCTAGTGGCGCCATAATTATAATTTCATGTATTATTTCTACAGAATCCTTTAGATACATTTGATTCAATCATTAGGGAACCTCATCAACAGATGTCGCTGAATAATATTTGTGGCTGTACTAAAGGAACAGGTACAAAGTCACCTACAGTGTTGCCAGAATCTTATCAGAGTACGTCGCCAAATTAGTAGTAGTAGTAATTCAAAAGTGGAATGATATATTTCACATTATTATATTCACCACCTAGTATTCCCATCCTGTGATCTTTGACCTCACCATAGAATGAAAGTCATACGATAGTTTATATCTAACATATTAATTCTCCGTCACAGTGTTTGTGGCCAAACTCCTCCAAAACGGCTTGACCGATTCTTATGAAAATTTTTGTGCATCTTTGGTAGGTCTGATAATCGATCGTAAACTATTTTTTAAATTGGAAACTCAAGATGGCGAATCCAATAAGGCGAACGAGTTTTTTAATTATGATCCGATTCTATTCAAAATTTGTATTTGGGGGTTTTCGGTATCAGATATATTATTCTTATGTCAAAATTAAAAAAATAAAGATGGCGGATCCAATATGGCGGCCGAGTTTTGTACTTATGATCCGATTATTTTCAAAATTGGTATCTGGGGGTTTTCGGTATCGGAGAATATGATTCTTTTGTCAAAATCAGAAAAATAAAGATGACGGATCCAATATGGTAGAGTTTTGTAATTATCATCCTATTTTATTCAAAATTGGTATTTGGGGGTTTTCGGCATCGGATATATTATTCTTATGTCAAAATTAAAAAAATAAAGATGGCGGATCCAATATGGCGGACGAGTTTTGTACTTATGATCCGATTATTTTCAAAATTGGTATCTGGGGGTTTTCGGTATTGGAGATTATAATTCTTTTGTCAAAATTAAAAAAATAATTATGACGGATACAATATGGCAGAGTTGTGTGATTATGATCCGATTCTATTCAAAATTGGTATTTGGGGGTTTTTGGTGTCGAAGATCATGATTCTTTTGACAAAATTAGGAAATTGAAGATGGCGGATCCAATATGGCGAACGAGTTTTGTACATAATCCGATTATTTTCAAAATTAATTGATATCTGGGGGTTTTCGGTATCGGAGAATATGATTCTTTTGTCAAAATCAGAAAAATAAAGATGACGGATCCAATATGGTAGAGTTTTGTAATTATAACCCTATTCTATTCAAAATTGGTATTTGGGGGTTTTTGGTGTCGGAGATTATGATTCTTTTGACAAAATTAGGAAATTAAAGATGGCGGATCCTATTTGCATATTGGATCCGGATATATATAGGTTCCCGTTGGGAGAGATTTTCTCTTTTTATTTCACAGTTCTGTGGCCAGAGAATGGAGGAGTATCATTGTACCTTTGGTCGTGTAAGCGTAATATATCAATCAACGCTTTGGTTCACTTCCCGGAGATTTTGTAGTTTTCGTTGACATGTTTTCTCTGTGCGTTTGAAATATTTCAGACACATTTACCTGGGATATGAGAATAGATTAGATGTTTATGATATATTTCTGAAACGTTTGTTTAGAATGTTTCAAAAGATTCCATATAGGATTTCGTTGATATTCATATAAAGTATGTGTTTACTGGTTGGCAGACGAGTTTTGTAATTATGATCCGATGATATTCAAAATCGGTATCTGGGAGTTCTCGGGGTCGGAAATTATGATACCTTCGTCAAAATTAGGACATCAAAGATGGCGGTCCAATATGGCGAACGAGCTTATTTGTATGTAACACGCTTTTATAGATATCCAAAATAAAAAGAAGTTGAAAATAGATAGTAGTTTGGAAAACTAAACACATAGATTGTTGAACAAAAAAGAAGTAGAAAATAAATAATAGTTTAATAAACTAAATAAACACGTTTCTATGGACGAACAAACGTTTGCCGGGGCAGCTAGTATATTACCTATATGAATTCATATAACCTATAGAAAAACATAATAGTTATTTATGTATCAAGGGCGTAAAGTAGGATTTTATGGACCGCAGCGTGTAAGTAAGAGCGATAGGATATTAACACGCCTATGTCCATAAAAGCAAGTTACGCCCGAAATACATACAACATTTTATGCACGACCGTTTTATACGTTTATTTACTGTCAATATGGAATTTATTCATGATTTTGAATTCATTCGGCCAAATTATGGATATGCCACTGGCGAAGAAAGATCGAATGGTAGTCTACTAAAAATTACTGAAAAAACTGTGAAATTACTTTACTGCCGATCACCTACTTAAAGGCCCGCCAGACTACTTTACCGCCCGCTGTACTCCTTTATCGCCCTAGGGCGCTAAAATGCAACTTTACGCACGCGAATTCGGGCGATAAAGTGCCACTTTACGCCCGGTCGTTCATAAAAATGATTTATTTTTGAAAGTTTGTTTTATCATATGATAACAAGTATTGGAACTGATATAAAAGTGTCAACCTGTCAACGTTGAAAGTCACAGAAGCATAGAAGAAATGGAACAATCATATATGGGTAACACTTTTGACAATAATTTATTTCGAAACTCGGCTCGGGCGTTAAGTTTCGCTTAAAAAATATCAATAATGTACTACTTGGTCGCGGTCACACGTTTCTTTCGCTGTATGTCAAAAGTTACATTATTTCAAATGAATCGCTTGAAATAGGCTTATTTGTTTTGAAAAGTTGTTTTTATTCCAATTTTACATAACTATGTGTCTCGAATTTTAGTTTTTGATACATGCAATTTCTACGAAATGGTCTGATTTTAAAAAATAATAACACCGACTAAACCATTTCATTTTAGTAGCTTTTTCATGCTACTAACTTTCAATCACTAATTTTTGACAGGAATATGATTTTCTTCAGAAAATAATAATCTCCGCTTCGAACGTCTTTTGTTTGATGCAAAGTTGATGTATCGTCTATCATTCGCAGGAGCGAAATTTATTTAAATCTATATTTTCAGTACCAAAATAACGCCAAAGTCATCTATCCAAATATCATCAAACAACTTTACGTATCTAAGTTCAGGACAGTTTTGTTGAAGTTACAATTAAAAGAAATCAGAAAATATCAAGACCAAAGAGTTGAAATGGAAAGTTCAAATTCGAGACAAATGTGTAAAATTGGAATAGAAACACCTGTTCTCAGTGAACTTTTTCAAAAGTCGAACCAATAAGCCTATTTTCAGCGATTAATTTGAAAAAATGTAACTTTTGACTGTAGCGAAAGTCACGTCGTGACTCCGACCACCTCCGACCGAGTAGGCAAATTTTTTCTTGAAGCAAAACCTAACGCCCAAGTCGAATTTCAAAACAAATTATTATCAAAAAAATTTTCCATATGATACCAACTTCATGAATGATACTGTAGAATCATAATATAAACAAAACACCTGCTAACGTCAAAAGGATCTCGCTCTGTGCGGATGACTCGAATCTACTTGGATGGTAAAGGTAAAGCCACAAAGCCATCGAATTTGGACTCGCGATACTCATCTCACTCCCTGAAGCCCAATTCGTCTAAATTGTTAATTGAGGTAGATCAATAAGTCGCCTGTCGCCAAGTTCTATTTTTGCTCGCCAAAATAGGTTCAGAGATGGCCGAATTGGCGAGAAATCGTCCATACTGGCAACACTGGTTACTTATCGATTTTTCTTTGAAGCCTAGTTGGAATCGTTCGGGGAATCACACATACCGCGACACCCGTCGCCAGTTGCAGTGCTGCCAGCGTTCTGCTATTTTATATTATTATACTGATTGTTTTGTATACATCAGTAGGGGTCAATCGTTCATGTAGGTAACGGACTAACTCGACGTCGACCCGGGCACAGGTCCTCCGGCCACGTTAGCTGAGGTCTGTGGCTGAGGTAACGAGTTGGTTACGTCAGAGACTTCTGGCCTTATGTTCACGTGGGTAACGGCCAATCCGTCTATAAATACAAATTTTATAGTACAAAACCGTTTTTGTTTTTTAAAATATCCTATTTTGGTGAGTGAGAGATGAAAAAATCCGTGGAATTTCCCCTTATTTCTCTAGTAAAAATGAATTTAGTAATTTGTCCTTTGAACTATATAGAGACATTTCCATAGACCTGGCATCACTGATCACTGGTTGAAACTAAGTAGCACCAGATTTTTAGCCAATGAGAAAAGGAGGAAAGGATTGATTACTTGCTTTTCATAAGAAATAATATTTAGAGTTTCATATGGGCCTACCACAAAAGACAATATTTTGTTTATGCCTACACTAATTTCTTAATATGAATATTACCTGTCATGAGTCAAATGGGAATTCAAGATAATCAAAACTATTTTCTATAAATTGGAGAAAAAGTGGTGGTTACGTTACGATTTTGACAAAATGATCATAATCTCCGACCCCGAAAACCCCCAAATATAAATTTTCAATAGAATTGGTCGATAATTACAAAACTCGTCCGCCATATTGAAACCGCCATCTTAAATTTCCCAATTTTGACGAAAGATTCTGAATCTGCGACCCCGAAAATCCCAGATACCAATTTTGAATAGAATTGGTCTACAATTACGAAACTTGTCCGCCATATTGGATCCGCCATCTTAGATTTACAAATTTTGAAAAAATAATCATTATCTCCGACCCCGAAAACCCCCTAAAATACCAATTCTGAACAGAATCGGATCATAATTGAACAACTCGTCTGCCATATTGTATCCGCCATTTTGAATCTCCTCATTTTGACAAAAAAATCATAATATCCGACCCCGAAAACCCCAGATGCCAATTTTGAATAGAATCGGATTACAAAACTCGTCCGCCATATTGGATATCCGCCATCTTGAATTTTCAATTTGAAAAATCGTTTACGACTGATTCTCAGACCTACCGAATATGCACAAAAATCTTCAAAAGAATCGGCCAAGACGTTCGGAGGAGTTTGGCGTCAAACACCGTGACAGGGACAGGAGAATTTTATATATTAGATTAATATTATGAATCAACAGAGTCAGTTATGCAATACACTCGATAGACTATAAAAAGAAAAAAAAGCGCAATTATTTACAAAAAATCGCAATGACGCAAAACTAAGCTGAAAAGCGCCTTATTGGCAACACTGTTCCCCAGACCCAGAAAGAAGAAATGAATAAAAAGAGAACTGTAATCGTTGTATTAGTTCTTGAAGGAGCGCAGCACGGTAGTTTCACTGTGTAGCCCTCTGAAAGACAATAGCTGAACTACTCTGCCACTGTCGAAACCTTGCTAACAATATGGCGATATTGAAAATAGATGCAGAAACGTCAGAATAAATTTTACGCACAATACATTCCCAAACGACAATGTTCCAGAAGCTGATTATTTCATCAAAAATTTATTGAATTGTTAACTTAGGGTATGCCAGGTTTTTATTCGATTCTGTTACACAAACGTTGTCAATGTTATTGTTTTTCATTACCATATATTTTTTTACACAAATCGAATTTCGCTGGAAAATTCCTTCATACCCTATTCTCAACCCTCATCTTTAATATGTACCATCCACTTTTGCGCTTACACTTATAGTTTATTAATGATTTGGTACCAAACTGACCGCTGCATGGCAGTTTTGACTGATGCGCCCTCTTAAAATCATTTGATCTCAAGACACAGACTCAACACATTATTACACAAAAAACGGGAGTTAGGATACTGATGGGTATGTTTTTGTTATTTAAAATAAATCTACATACAACTTTCAGAAAAATCTGATGGTCGGCCGTTTCTTTGTTTAATTTAGAATAACCAGAGATTATATATAATCTCTCGAATCACTAACACTAATTTCTTCAAGTTAAAACTTGAAAAACTCATTAAAATCTGCAGGGCGATTTTCAGTTTTATCAATGATTGAAATAGACCACATAGTGTCACAAGTTGTATTCACCACTACAAGGTGGATGAAAAATGGATTTTCCTGTTATGATTATAAAAGCAAAATGTCAATACATTATTTAATGTCTCGCATATGATCAGTTTGATCATAATCATCAACAAATGAAGGTAGTATGACGCTAGTTCCTGGGGCAAATTTTTCGTCAAATTCGAATTTATTCAAGAGGAACATTCAAAGAATGATAATAATATAAAATACACTCTCAATGTTTACTCAATATTCACACAGTGTATACTAGGTATTACCTTGTCAGCAAAAGGCAATACTTCTGGCATACAAATGTTGTGGGAAAAAGTTCTTGCATATTCTGCCAAGGAACAAAGAACATCCAAAATGGTAAGGCATTGAACTGCCTCATCAAACAGATCGTTCCTAAAATGGAAATGTATCAGACAAATTATGGAGAGTATATGTTAAAAAACATACTTTTCACTAAATTTCCTGAAGATTCGCCTATTCAAATCCAAAATCAACTTAGCTCTCTCTGCTTCTGCCCTCATCATTTTCGCGAGTAATGCCTAAAACAATTGATGATTATTTCAGTTCAACACAAAACTATAAGCGTTTACCCTTGACATAGGCGTACTGAACCTTTTGCAAGGCTTATTCCCTTTTCTAGTTCCTTCTAACAAATAGTTTTCTGTTGCTTTATTACTTTGTTTCTCAGGTACTTCCAACTGAAAACGTTTTTTGTCATTACCGAAATAGCTGACTTTGCAACCAAAAAATCGGGACTGCTCTTCGAGGTATTCTTGCAACTCGTCTTTGATTTCTTCTATTGCCATTTCCACTTTGTCAAATTCGTCCTCTACGCCTCTTTGTGGAATGATTTGGCCCTCTTTCTCAGCCTCATCCTGGTCAAATGCGGTCTGAAATAATAATCTGTGTTAGTTGGATGATTTTTTTTTCAATTTCTTATTCTTGATCTTCACACTACTGCTTTCAATTCGATGATTTTTCAAAATTTTTGAATGGTTTCAAGGTGTCAAAATCATAAAATAAAATCCACAGTACCATATAAACGATCGAAATTTGCCACTATAACTACTGACGTCACGACTCAGTGAGTGAAACACACAGTTGCCAGATGTTAAAGTACGGTAAACTGTTCTAAAGTGAACCGCCGTACACAGTGAACCATTTTTAATTTTACACCTACCACTATTTAGAGAGAAGCGCTGATGTGTACGTGGCATGATCTATTACGTCGCCATATCTGTATCGAATACGAATACTATTTAGAGAGAAGCGCTGATGTGTACGTGGCACGGTCTATTACGTCGCCATATCTGTATCGAATACGAATACTATTTAGAGAGAAGCGCTGATGTGTACGTGGCACGATCTATTACGTCGCCATATCTGTATCATCAAACGTCTCCGTCTTTTAGTTTATCCCGGAACACGCGCAGTGATTGAGATAATAATTGAAAGTAGGTGAACAAAAATTCATTATTCCGTTCACGTTATGATTTTTCACTATTTGCGTATTTATTTGGCGATGTAAGGTATCGTCGTCGGTTTAAAAATGTCTACTTCAGCATTGAAAATTGTAAAAACTTTTTCACTTAGTCTCACGATTATTTGTTCAATGATTTAGTCTTCATGTTTGATAAAATTCAACAGTGAACCAGTACACAGTGAACCATACCCAGTAAACAGTGAACCATATGATTCAATGTGTATCGACTGGTTCACTGTGTACTATAGGTAATACTCATCTACAAAATATCTATGAAGTAGTGAATCATTCTTCCATTAATCTCACTACTTTTTGTTTAAACTGTCACATATTTTTCAGTTCTGTCTCGGTTTTTGTATTGTTTCGAAAACATATTATTTTTATGTATTCATCACCTTGTTTTTTTTTCTTACTGGTTTACTGTGAATTCGTCACCTAATCCACTGTTTCCATAAAATGGTACACAGTGAACCAATAGACATGTTTTTTTGAAAAAAAAATATTGGGCTTTTGCCCTACATCTAGAAATAACATAAATTGTCTGGCTTTAAAAATTCACAAAGAATTATTGATTTAAACCAAAGACGAGATTCAGTGCAAATCATGGCTACATCGCTTTGCATCTTATATATCGTAGTTAGACAGCGCCGAGCTCAGTTGCCGAGTCACCAACGGATTATACTGAATATTTGGTCACAGAACGTGGTAAGATTTGCCGATATTCGGTATTCATAAAATAGAACGTTCTGTAACAGCAGAGGGTAATAGACGGGTGGACTATTTCTTAAAATCTTTTTGAATCTTTCAACTACTATTCATTAATTTTTATAATTTTCTAGATTTTTTTTCGGTCGATTTTGAGGTCCTAAAATCATCAACTGAAATTTCCAAACGGCTAGAAAGTTACCGCAAATAATAATTGACATGATTTCATAAGTAGGGGAAGACTATAGCCATATGTTGAGATACGATTGGGAACTCAAGAAATATTATTTGTTTAATAATTCATAAATTCTCGATAATGTATTGGTAATATTCTTATCAACTATAAAAAATCCATTGTCTCAAAATGTTTCCTCTTATGTATGTAGCTAATACTAACCGTCAAGTTAATGTTTGTCATGGTTGAGTTCACATGTTAATCATAATTTTTATATTACTAAACCATATAGAATAGGTCCATTATCCTTATTCATTACTCTATTACTATCCTTAAATATCTCTAAGCTTTTATATGCGTCTAATTTTCTGATATTATTAACTTGCTCAACTAATTTGAGGTTAGGTTATCACTAAACGTAAAATAAAAGCGTGTTAAAATTATCTAAAAAAAAATAAATCAGGAATGAAATTTTCAAATTTGGTCTACATTCGTGGATTCAGGATTCAAGAGACTATAGCTTCCGTGGAAACCATTTTTCGACTTTTCTCTTACTCTTGGAAAGTGAAATCTATTGCCCAAGTATTTCACGCGATTATTGTGTATTGTGGGACACCCTGTTTACTTAAAATTAACTACCTTAAAGTAATCAAGGGTGCTCCCGAGGTCTCTGTTTACACCTTCCGGAGCGAACTGAGTTATTTTCCTCAATAAACGATCTTCACATCCTGGAAACATTAAAGAAAATATAGGATCGAACAATTTTTCCGACAACATGTTGACTGTAGTTTCTCATTTTTGACAAATACAAGGTCTGGTCAAGTAATTGTTCAACAGGCAACTGTGAAGAAACAAATAATGAATTTGGAATAATTGTTAATGAAACTGAAATTACATTCTTGGGAATTTCTTATAACTCTTTTCGTTTGCAGAGATAACATCACCAAGATGATCACCATCTCTAATCTAATCGTGAAATTGCAAATTACGTTTCAGAGTACATTTTCTATCTATGCTATTCAACGTTTTCCAAATACAAATTTTTTTCACAACAATCTGTTTCTTCAAAACTGCTAAATCATATTGCCGGACCCTGTACAATCTGCTGGCGATTTATACGATAAAAAAATCATAGTTACCTTTGAAAATCCCTGCAATTTCTTGAGCTTTTTCAAAAGCCCTCAAAGTTTTCAGAAAATCCTTTATTTTCCTCTTAGAATATGTAACTGCTTCATAAAATATTGCTCTACTATCAGGGTGGTCAGTTGAGAGGAATTTATTTCCATAGGTATGTATTCTTGAAATTAAAATGTTAAAAAGAATTTGAAATATGTACAACATTGAAAATAACTGGAATTTCAAACCATTATTAGAAATCCTCACAATTTCAAAATAGTATATATATACTCAAATAATTATACTTTTGGAATATTTTGTTCTTTTATGATTATTTGATTGCTACCTACCTAGTTTATTACATATGAACATTGAAAGATAATTACAATATGCATTTAACGAGATATAGTGTGAAACTAATGAAATATTTCAAAACATTATGAAAATGAATCTGAACTGGAAAAAAGAGGAAGCAAATATACTGAAATACGTTTCTTACTTTGTTATTTGACGTTCCAAATCAGGCATCTTCTTCAGAATGTCTTGAGCACTTTTCAATAAAGTGGGATTATTATGCAGCTCCATAACGGCCTTTTGTCTTTCTTTAATTTTTCCAACATGACATAGAGGTCTACAGATCCATCTTTGTAATAATCTAGAAAATTCACCAAATCAAGATATTATTGGGTTGGGCAGGAGTCTTTTGGAGCCTGCATGCGAAAAAAATCACAGGGTGGTTATTTAATGTTTAATTTGATAGGTACCAGGTTTGATGAGGGTACATCAAAAGACCATCACGCAGATAAGAGGGAAAAACCAAGCATCCGGAGGAAATTTCATTGACGTTTATTTCACGTCAGTACATAGCAAAAGTGAATGTCGAAATGACACCTAATTCGGTCATGACTAGAGAAAAGTTTTGATTGTTTTGAAGTTTTGAGTCTAACATAAAAAACATGTGAAAGTTAAAATAATCTGCTGCATAGTTTCCGAGATTTCTGACAATCATTATATGTCTACAATGAATTGGTACAGTTGTTTGTTTCAATATATGACCTCTGTTGAATATTATTGTAAATGAAATTATTTTATAATGAAAGATAGTAAATTGTTGCCCTCCGGAATAGAATTTTTCGAGCATGCGAAATGAAATTGAATTTTACTTTTTAAGGAAATGAATTATTTTTATTCATCCCCTTAGCCTCACACCTTCTTATTTTTTTCTTCTGAATAAAAAAAGTTGAGCAACAGAAGATCAATTTACGTGTTTTGTTTTGTTGGAAGTTACTGACTTAAAACGTATTCATTTGATTCCGGAAGTTCGGGCAACCCTCTGTATATTCTGATGTCTGCACTCAAAAGGGAACATACCTTTTGCCGAATGGAGTTTCACAACGATCCAAAGTTTGCTTGAGGGAGCCTTTGGATCCTAGAAGGCTTAGATTGTTGATTGTTGCAGCATCCAATATCAAATAGTCTTTCTGATTGTTTTTCTCGCTAGATCCCAGATCCAATGGATCATACCATTCAAATTTACCCATTGAAAATACATGAATGTCTAATTTGGAATCTTTCAAGTACCACAAGCAAGCACCTAGAGATCTTATCGACAACCTATATTCGTCTTTTGCGATGCCTTAAAAATGATTTACAAATCAATAATGAAGAAAAATAGAGAAGTTATTCTACAGGGTGTCTCTGAATGGTCTTCATAAAAACTTAACACATATTCTTCAGACAAAAAAAAATCGATACAAGCAAACTCACCTCAGTACAAAGTTGCTTACTTTGGGCGCTAGACGGCTCTGTTACAATTTTCAAATCGTTTTTGCTTCATAACTTTGAAACGGTTCATGAACCGTCTAGCGCCCAAACTAAGAAACTCTGTACTGAGGTGAGTTTGTACCGAATTGTTTTTGTCTAAGGAATATGTGGTAAGTTCCTGTAAGGACCTTTTAGGGACACCCTGTATAAGTATGTTAACTGGAAATGATTCAATGACATGACGTTTCTTTCAAGTCACACAAATAATAGAAGCAAGACTATATTCACAGCGCATTCCACTCATTATGATAAAAGCACTGGATTCGATGGTAGTGTTGCCATTTGTGCTTATCTCCCGAAATATGCTTCTATAGCATACACAATTCACGAGATCGTCATGGGGAATGATTTCAGAGCTACCAATAATACCGGCTAGTATGATAATTACAATGATACTAAATGACGTCAAAATAGAAATCAAGTAACATACAAGCATTCGCAATCTTCTTAAACACTTCTGGCCATCTCAAATTTCCATCGTCGCTTCGAAAATAACAAGCTCCACAGAGTTTCTCTAAAGTGTCATCGGCCGTATAAAACTGAGTTTTTGATAGCAAACTTTCTTTGCGCACATCTCTAAAATGACAGTTGAGCAGTTCAGTGAATTTGTCGTGGACGCCACCTTTAGCAGTCAGTATCTGAAATGTAATATTAATTTCTAATTTTGAGTGATAACAAGTTATAGTAGACAGTCATACATGGGGTAGGAAAATTACAAATAACTTGAAAAATACATCTATACAATGATGGAAAGGAAAATGAAATCCATATCTTCAATTCAATACTAGTAGATTGAACACTAGTTCCATAAAAAAATAACTAAAAATACCATTCGATTTGTCCGAAAATATTTTCAAGAACATGTTTTTAATTTAATGAATTTATTTGAAGTTAAAACCTCGCAAACATTAAAAAGACGTATTCGTGCAAAAGGATATGGAGTTTTGAAACTTTGCAGGGTTGTACAGGGTGAGCAACACTCGATGTCTCAGCTCTATTATAAGAGGAGAGATGATAGGGGAAATCTAAGAAGAAGTTCCCAAATGCGAATGACTAATAGTCCGCTTAGAGCCTAATTCGCAAATTTTTATGAATTTGTAAGCTGAAGTAATGACGCCATCGATTACTTTTTTTCCCAGAAACATACCAATATCTATGCATATTCGGAAAAAGCTAATTTTCCTGATCAAATTTTGTTATTCTAATCCGCATTCGCTTGTCGGTCGTGGGTTCAATTTCCAGCGACTGCAGAAATTTTTCTGATCGCCCAAGAAAGTGTTTAGGATCACACGTTGAAAGGTAAGGTCCCCGTCATTCCTTGCTCGCACAAGACCCCCGAAGACTTCTGAGGGTTGCTCGTAAGGGGGCAACCGAATGACGGTTAGAACAATTTTAGAACAACAATTTGACAAATTTTCAAGCGTAACAATTAGGTGAGTGTGGGCTGAAACAGAACCAGGCAAGCAAAAATATGCTATTTTTCACGAGTAAAAATTGCACTTGGTTTGATTCAATACCTGTTACCATTTTCGAGAAATTAATTCGAAAACTTCCGTGCATACCTAACTGATAACGTGATTTATTTATTGAATTTTTCCTACACCAACTTTTTGAAAACTAAAAAGTGTGGATAAAAAGGAAAACACATAATATATTACCAAAGAAAGAAACAAAGTATGCAGGCAATCACTACAACAAATCCTCAATGTAACCACTTCCTACCTCTGAACACTTCTCCAATCTCCGCCGCCTTACTTACTGAAGCCTTTCGTAACATTTCTCTAGAGTTCATCGCAAGCATTCCTAACTTTTTCTCTCAGATGATCCAAGTTAAGAGATGGTGTTCTGTAAACTTTATTTTTCAGAGTTTCCCACAAGAGAAAATCTAGTGGGGTCAAGTCAGGTGGTTTAGGCGCCCATTGTATCGGTCCATTTTCATTTGAAGCTGTAATGGTACATTTCCGAGAAGCACAAGAAGTTGTTCTTTGAAATTGAAAATATTGCTTACTATTTAAAACTCCTTCGTAAAAATATGGACCAATCAAATCCATTAATAATTCCACACCAAACTTTAATTCCAAAATATCCTTGGTTTCCCATAGGATTGATAAAATGTGGATTTTCAGTAGCCCAATAATGTTCATTTCTTTTATTGAGCTTACCGTTGCTAACAAAACGGCTTTCGTCCGTCCACAACACAGGCTGGATAAACCAATTGGGCACTATAACTCTCTCTCCTTCTCTTATAATAGAGCTGAGACATCGAGTTTTGCTCACCCTGTACACTTGATAGTTTTCATTATAATATCCCTGAGTTTGCGACCTCAAACGACTCCGCTCGTGCCACCAACTTGAAAAAAGGCGCCCAAAATCACCCTTGCCTACCCTTTCCAGTATGCTGTGAAGGGGAATATGGTTCAAGAAATTTTTCATCGTTTCCTAAAGTTTCCTCTGATGTGGAACACAAAGCCCTTGAAAGTTTTGCCGTAGCCTAGTCAGCCTAGTGGATCGAGCCGATAGCGATGACAACAGATCTGTGATAACAATTAATGAAATGTCAAATTGTTGGCATAACCAGCGTCATTTCGCAACTTTCAAATAGGCTATTTTTGTAGAAATGATTTATAGTTTTCATTTCGATAGACTCTACATCGTGTAAAAAAATGTTTCCCGTTAGAAAATACCCCGTTTAGACATCACTGAGTATCCCTATGGAATTATCTATACAACGAAACCCACTGACCTGAACGATGTGGAAAGAAGAATAAGGATCGAATGCCAGATGAATATCTTCAAATGTTTAAGAGAAAGAATGTGAACCTTGTTGGTTGCCTAAAGTATCTACTGACGGATATCTACCGATTTTCAAACCTGAATTATTTGCTCAACGAGTACACGTGTTCGTTTTTTTTGCCAACATGATTGAAATCGGTGAAAAACTTATCTTCCGACAATTTTTTTCTGAATTTGTGAATTCAGTGTTGAAACGAGAAATGACCGCGCATTTCGAGAATTTTACTTCTATCACGATGGTTTACACGAAAGACGAGAAAGTTGAAATAATTTTTATTTTTGCTGTTCAAAATGAGTGTGCACGAGCAACCGCTCGAATTTTCAATGAGCAGCACGAAAATAGAAACGTAACTGACAAGTGAGTATCAGAAATACAATTTGTGGGAAATATGATGAATATGAAGAAATTGATGTATTGAAAGGCATACGGTGAGAATTCGCATTATCTTTGTGATGAAAGTATTGATTCTCTCTCGGTATATTCAACATAAAGTAACTACTTTCCCGACTACTTATATGCCACGACGAACATACATATCATCATTCTGAATATACCGAGAGAGAATCAATACTTTCATAACAAAGAGAATGCGAATTCTCACTGTATTTTTTTCAATACTCCATTTTTTTCTATTCATAATATATCTGATTATAAAAAAAAAATGTGAATATTACTTTTTTCATTTTAGATATATCTTGGATCTTGTAGCGAAATTTCGGGAGACTGGATCAGTTGCCGATAAGAAGAGGAATAGGATGCATCCTGTCACAAATGAAATCAACCAAGTAGAAGTTTTAGGACAGGTTGAAGTAAATCCTACAATGTCTATTCGACAACTAAGTAGCATCACAGGAATATCCAGAATTTCTATAATGAGGATGCTGAAACAGCACAAATTCCATCCTTATGAGTTGAATCTTCACCAAGCATTAAATGAGGATGACTATGATAGACGATCTGAGTTTTTCGAAAATATCACGACAATGATACAGAGGAACCACGAATTTATTAAGCATATTTGCTTTAGTGACGAGTGTTCATTTCATTTGAACGGTTTAGTAAACAGACACAACTTTCGGTATTGGAGTCAGAATAACCTTCATCTACTGAGAGAAGAGCATACACAATGGCCCCAGAAGTTGAATGTGTGGGCAGGGATTTTGGGTAATACAATCATTGGACCAATATTTATCCAGGGTGATTTGAATGGTATGGCCTACTTGGATATGCTTCAGAATCTAATCAAACCACTTATTATGGATGCTGTCAACACTGACCTAGATGATGATGGTAATCCAAATCTATTAGCAGGAAATATTTTTTTGGCTATCCCAGAATTTTCCAGACAAATGGATTGGTCGTAGAGGACCAATAGAATGGCCAGCACGCTCACTGGACTAGGCACCCAATGATTTTTTCCTATGGAGTCATTCAAAATCTGTTATTTTTAAAACGGAACCTACTGACCTCGATGATTTGGAGAGAAGAATAAGAACTGAATGCGTGGCAATATCTAGAGAAACATTCTCAAATGAACAAGAGGAATTTTCAGACTCTACCACTGTCTGGGAGTCAATGGAGGTCATTTTGAACACTTGTTGTGAATACCTGTTCAATAATATCTATTTTGTACATACATTTACTCACAATTAAAAAACATACCATTCGAACTCGAATATCTCGAGAACGAGTTGTTGGAATTCAAAAAACTTTGCACTGCTAGTTTCCGAATTAAATTACCTTTCCAATGATGTATAACACGACCCTTATTCCCTATTCAAATTATTGAGGGGGTTGCTCTGGAGAGTAGAGGGTTGAAGTATGGATCATTTATTTTGCCTCAAAATTTGTCCCCCTCCAAATAAAAATCGACCTGTTTCGTCATTTTTTTGTTGAATAATTATTCTGGGAGATATCGAGGGTGGATAGTCTTGAATGGACCACCCGGTATATCCTCGAAAAAAAAAAGGCATATATTCTAAATATTCCCTGAAAATTGCTGGAATGTCTATAATTATACAATTATACCTTTGACCAATTAAAGAGTATTTCAAATACGATCACGCGTTAGTCGGTTTGTTTACCGCTGGCCTATTGGATTTGGCTATACCGCTGGCCTATTGGATTTGGCTATAATATAGACATGCCTTTGGAAAAACAAGGAAAATTTCAAATATTTTCCTGAATAATTACAATAAGGTATTTCCTTGCAAGAATACTATTGCAACATAGCGCAATGTCAATTCGTAGATTATGTGAAAAATCCTGATGAAAGCAATTTGTTCATGATACTGTTTTTCTAAAACCTACAGGAATAGAAGATATACGCCAAAAACTGATTTCGGACGCCATTTTTCCAATATGGACCAGTAATTGTATGATGTCGCCAAGTTTATCTCTCCATAACGGTTTGTATCCTTAAATCCTCCGATGACCGCACTTCTGTATATTGGAAGAATAGTGATAATAAAATAAGTAATACTCACCAAGGCTGGAGGAAATTCTGAAAAAATGGTCAGCATCTTCGAAAAGTGTTTATCGTCTTGAAATTCTGATAAATAGAAGGTTCCTATGGAGGTTTCTACAAAACATATTCCAAACCTGAAAGTGCCATGAGATCTTTCCTAGAAAACAGAAAGATTCAGAATTCGACTACCAAAAGCTTTTTAGGATATATCCTTGAACCCATGTGTTGTGAATTAGATAATTAGATCACTGTTTATTATCCACAGATAAAAACAGGTGTTGAAAATTGAAATGTTTTTTAGTCGGACTCAATGAATAGATGAAGCCTCGGTATTAAAGAAAAAGATTATATTATTTCTATAATATTACATAATAGTGTTTGTTGCCAGAGAGTTTTTCCTACTAGCGTGCGGAAAAATCTACCTTTCTGCACAAGTGGAATTTGGGTATTTTCCGCATGCTAGTAGAAAAAATAGTGTACCTAACACGTGAGTAAAGTGACTTTTCCACACCCAGCAAAAACATCACTTTCCGCACTTGTTAGGTAAACTACTATAAAATCATCAATTTATACACGTATCAAAATTACACACCAACAATACAAGGAGCTCTCAAAGTTGAAGAATTTCTCGCAAGCGATTATGTTAACTCATGAAAACAAGTGATTTGCTGACAGAAATCTTTCATTTGATATTTTCTTGTTCTTCAGAGAATTATTTGAAATATGTGATTTCAAAATCCTAAAATTGCATCAGTTGCATATCAGCGAAAAACTTGATTATGCATGACCAACACAGGTCGATGATGTTCGCCCCTTCAGCGCACCTCCTATTCAAAACCAAAAGATACCTCAACTTTGAAAACAACCTATATATGTCTTTACCTCCATACATATACCATACATAAAATTAGGCAGTTCGCTTTTTGCTTCAGTCATTTGTGCTGTATAGATACATGTGGCTTTCGTTGAAACCTGGCATATTTCTCTTTTCACCACTTTGTCATATTTCGTGGTTTTGCCCATACTTTGGCACCGTGCTGTCATCATTTCAGGAGTTTCGGTTTGTTCAACTCTCGAGACCTTGAAGCCCTTATCTATCAGACAACTCGCCATTTTGGCATAGGCAGTTTCTGGAAAGCCCGAGTGAGCAAACTCGCCCTGAAGAAAATAAACATGACGATAAAAGGAATTTAAGGTATCATGATAATGCAATAACTTCATTTTCCGGAAACTCAAAAATGTAAATACGAAGAGTTGACCACATGGGAATTTCGGTGTACAACTGACAGGAATTTTAGGGAATTCCGAGGTATTCCGGGGAATCTATATGAAACATTCATCTTCAAGATAATATAACAATTTTTTTTAGGTATGTATGCATAGAGATTCGAATCATCGAAATTTGCGTGTCTTGTTTGCACAGTGTGGAGACATCAACTGGAATAAATTCGTTAGCAGGAAGGAAAATTCCCGGCACACGTCAACGATTCGATGTATTTACTTACCTTTTGCAAGCAATATCGTGAATATATCCCTCCAGGGGTAGCTGAAACCACCCCAGATAGCACACAATCGCCTAGGGTCATCCTCAATGTGTCGCCAAACGCCTAGAGAGGACGTTATATTTTCTACAACCTAAGAACATCATCAGGCGTAGATTTAGCGCCGTAATTGTCCTAGAAAAGTTCTGCCTGAGGCTGCAGCGGATTTCGTGCCTACGGATGTCTTCAGATGACATTCCATGAAATGACGTGTCGACGAAGCCAAAAGGAAGAAGAACTAGAAATACTAGAAGTGAGGTTATGTTTCATGATAATATTTCTCTAAGAAATTGATTAGATAATAAGAAATACAGATAATTAATTAATCAAATCATTGATAGTAGGTGAATATAATATTCTAGATTTTTGTCGGTATACGGACTTCCTTTTGATTACCTACAGAGGATTACTCTCGGGATTACTCCTTTTCAGTCAAATCATTTTCCTCAATAATTGCCGCGGAACTGTGTAAATTATTAAAACCACTCAAAGTCCCATAATAATACTATATGTGCTTGGATAAGTTCATTTCTGTCTCTTTCTTCTTTTCATCGAAGAAACAATTTCTTCCGACTCCAAAATCAATCTCTGCATTTGCCATTATTCTACGTTCACTCGATATTCCAAAAAATGACCAACTCAAGTTTTTACAATTCACAATACGGAGGGTTGCCCTCAATTGCGAAAGCTAGACTTAAATCTAGCTGAATATGAGCACGTAGTCAAATCTTGCAAGTTAAATATGACACACTTCTGATCGTCCGATTGATTTGTATTGGGTGTTCTAAGACGCCGAAAACCGAAATTGAAATTGTAGATCTTTACCCATAATATTTAATCGATTTTTTATGTTTCTTATGATTTTTGATAAGCAGTTCCTTCCTTCATGGAGTTATTTGGACGGTGCTATTTATAGTTTATCATTTCATATAGAGATGATCGGATAGTTAGATTGTGGTTCAAATTTGTTAAATTTGAAACCATATGTTCAGGGGGAGCACAGCGATGAATAGATGATTGCAAATAGTATACATGTATTTAATTAAAAACATCAACAACCAAAGAGTTGAAAATAAATCTACCTCAGGAATATAAAAAAAAAAAGTGTGTGTGAATGGATTCCTAGGAATTCCCCGGAATTCTCAGTACTTTCTACATTCAATTCAGACAAGTTATCGATATTTGTTTGAATTGACGTAATTTTTCTGTGGAAATTCTGGAGGATTCCGGGGAATTCCGATTTATGGGAATTCCAGTGTACACATTTTTCCTCAGTGGTCAACCCCTCGGGTGGAAATTATTACTCAAATTAGTTTTCCCTCAATGTTATTATGGAGTTCATAAAATGGTACCTACGTCGTTCTCTGTATCATTTAATAAAAAGGGTGACAGAGAACTGCGCAGGTGCAGAAGAAAAAATGTAATATTTCACTATAATATCTATCCAGTTTCATACCTTCATGTAACAAAATCCCAAATGGTTGACCCCTACCACTGCATCCATATGATACAGCTCATAAAACTTCCCTACTTTGAAGAACAGAACGGTATCAAAATGTTTACTTTTCAGTTCCCACCACTGTCTCATTGCAGGAGTCAGCCCACCGAGGAAACTGTCAGGAACGTACAGCGTCCTAGGATCATATTCCGGATGATCTGGTCTTCGCTTCTTAATGTCCAAGATCTTATTCGGCTTCAAAAACTCATAGTTGTTGTGCGCCCACTGTTTGTGAATACCATCGGAGATGATTTCTATCGGCTTGGATACCGGAGTTTTTGCGGGTGTAGAAATTCTTTTTGAAGAGTCGGAATCGATTTTTGAGAAACTGAAAGCCTTCACATTCTTCTTGACTGACGTTTCTTCGTTTTCAGATTCGGAGGAATCGATGATATTATTTTTACGGGCTTTGGCTGATCCGTTGGTTTTTGGTGTTTGTGGATCGGTGTTTGGTCTTTTACAGGGCGTTTCAGATTCGCTGTCTGAAGAGTCTATTACTGGCCTCAAACGCTTTTTGCCATTTTCTAAAATATAGGACCATGTATCACATCACACCTGCTCGAATTTTCAGAAAATACAGGATGATTCAATAATGCCTATAAACAATTCTGAAACTTACTTTCACTGTTCAAATCATCACTAGAGAGCCATGTAATAAAAATTCAGGATGTTACGATGGAATATTGCAAAAAACAACGTAACCAAAACGAATCGGAGTGAAATCGGATAATTTGTAAGGTAGATATAACGATAACTACTAGGTAGAGCATTTGTGGTGCCACTAGGAGGTTAATATGTTTTTAGAAAGCTTTGTTTTGTGAATTTTCAGTTGAAAGAAATAAACTTATTACCTGTGTTTTGACGTTGAATAAGAAAGTTTCGAATAGTGTGTATCACTTATAGTTGCGACAATTTATCATTTCATAACGGCTCAGACGATTTTCGAAATCATTTTTTTCAATACAGTACTATACCCTGGAATGCATTATTCTAAGATTCCCTTTTCCCAAACCCTACGTAAGAAATGAAAGCGCATTAGGCACTTTTTTACGAATAACAAATACTTCTTCCATTTGGAAACATCTGGAACCCACAAATTTCACAATATCATAACTTATATCGAGTGTTCACAACAAAATGAAAACAAAATCTACTTTTTAAGAGTGCAATATCTTGGAAATATTTAGATTTCCAAAAGGTAAAGTCACCTATTTCATTTTATTTAAATTACACGACACCGTCCGCTTTCTATTTCAATTTTTGCACTCAAGTTGTGAACACTCGGTATGAATTACGATATTGAAACTTGGGATTTTTGGGTTACAGATGGGCCTAAATCGATAATGGAAATATTAATTCGTTACAATAATATGGCTTTTGGGGTTAGACTTTCAACACCCTGATGTATATCGCAGTGTTTTCATACACATGTTAATAGGAATTTTTGTACATGATTGATTGGCTCATGTATTGATAATATAGACCGAGAGCCAGCAAGAAAAAACACGCATGATTGGCTAAACGCTAAAACTTTTTGAGAAGTTAACTAGTGTTATAACAACTAATAGGGAAACGCAAGTATGACGCATTGGCGGCTCGTGCTTTTTTCGATAGGGAAGCTGAATAAGAAGCGTGAATGTGAAATTCTACAAAAAAAACCGATGACACTTAGCAATAAGGTTCTTGTTCATAGAAAAGAGGCGCTAATAGCGTTATATAACAACAATCACTTATACTTACGACAAAAAAATATAGAGGTTAATTTTTGATAGTGTTTAATGAAATTCTGATAATTGAGTTTGAATAAGATGTAACAAGATCCTTAAATTTCGATTTTTAATTTTATATTGCCGTCAAGTTTGGGCAAAACAAAAGTGCATCAGTCTAAATACAATACACTTATAAACATCTCAGTCACACGTGCTCCCTCGCGAATCGCGATTCTGGTGAATTTCATTGGTCAGTGGCTGCTTTCCGTTGGATGTTGCCATCTCGCAAATTTGAATTCTATTCTAACTACTCTCAAGTGAAGTAAGCATTGCTGCCAAATTCTCAAATTCTAATTGATATCAGGAAATAAAACCTATACAACGAACGTAAGTTAGCTATTTCGTTTTATATTTCATACATGTATATTAAACTATTCGATGTATGAAAATTCGTGAGGAGGCTCAGCCCAAGGATTACACGACTACAGAAGGATATTACGGAGGGGAGGGGGGGGACCTCGATGACGTGTCACGTGATAGGCGGAACGCTGGTAAAGTAATTTGGTTATTTGAAATCTTCACTTTCATTATGAGTTGAAGAGTTATCAACTACTCGAATTTAACTCAATTATCATGGTTCTTTACGGTTAATATTCAATTATCACTATTTCTCAACTAGTCTTTGGATGCAGTAAATATCAAGTCAGTTTTTTGCCATTTATTTAGGTCCAGATCCTATTTTCATTCACTTCCATTCATTTATTATCCATCTGATAATAAACATAGTTACTTCAGTTAGGTAACCGAAGTTTGATTTATGAACTTCCTTCCTATCCCTTTTCCAGGTTCATTTGAGATTGAGAGTAAAGGTAACGTAATTCATTGTTTCAAATAATAACTAAGGAGTACTCAGAGTAGAGTAATAGACTTTGATTAAAGAGAATGCATGCTCAGATTTTTTACTAGTGCGATGCATATATACGTGGATGTGTCACAAGCGGCTAGCTGGGACTTCAGATATAAAAGGTAGGTTGATTATGATATATTGTGAATGATTGATGCATTTCAATACGACTTATTCAAGAACCTACTTGCCGATCTGTCTCGCTCGGCAAGAAATACTTTTTGTTGGAAATTAGAATTATATTAAATGAGGTGGTTGTAAGACAGGTTAATAAATTAGTGATCAAGATAGGTTAATTGCTTATCAGAGACCACCTCGTTTACATTAGTTAGGAATTATTTTTTGTATTCTTTCGATGTTTCAGGTTTTTCATCAATGCCTCTTTCTTTATTTCAAAGGTTTCTATAGTCTCATGCTAGTTCGGAGTTTACAGAAGTATCAACTCATTTGGAAATGTTTCCTATTGGCTATTTCAATTAGTATATTATTCACCACACCTATATATCTCTTGGGGAGCACAAAAATGTATCCCTATGTTCGGAAATTTTTGAAAAGAAACTAATAATAAAACAAAATCATTGCCTTTCGTTAAATTGTGGTAGGTAAACAATGCTAGAACCATTTTTTTTTTCGTTGCAGCAGCACTATTACAGCCATAAATGGCACGACACCTTCTGCCGGGCATATTTTACAATCACTGATATAGTAACTGAAATAAAATTTTTCATATTTCACGCATATTGATCCAGTTAAAAGAATAACTATTACAAATCACTACAAAAGAAAACACTAGTAGGTACAATCAAGCGTAGTGTAACAGTTACCGAGATCTCAATGGTGATCGAATTTTGGACACAGAGATACCACGTGTAATATAGAGGTCAAAATAAGTTGATTGCACCCAATTTATTAATATACCAAAATTTACCGTTTGTCCATGAGAAGAGTTCAAAGTTTACATGAAAAATAAAACATTTTTGTTCGCTGTTTAGAAATGAGTGAAACAAATTTAATAAAATTTGGCAAGTGATCAATTTGGAGGATTACTCTACTTTCAGTAATCAAAGAAACCCAAGAGAAATTGTGGTAGGATTGAAACTACCCCTCACCCCCTGACTTTGTTACTATTGTGAAAACTTCTTACTCCCCATATTTCCGAAGGAAAAAAAAATTAATTTAGTTGACAGTGGAAACAAAGGCAGAACGATTTTTATAACAAATGTTCAATGTGACGGCCTCCTTCATCAATACAAAAGTAAATTCGTTTTTTTTCATGTCAACTTAGAACTCTTCTCTCACGGACAAACGATACATTTTGGTATATAAATAAATTGGGTCCAATCAACTGTGTGTCCCAGCAATTTTGGGACACTCTATATATATTTTTATATGTAGCATATACCAACTTCATGTGTAAATGGGCTTTTATATGTTCACCCCTCAGCCCATTCGCCCCCTTTTTAATAATAATTAATAATGAGTTACTTACCCTTTTCAGGAACATCTTCAGATCTATCTTTTTTATGTCTTTTCAACATGTGAGGTGATGCATTTTCATTTTCAGATTCACCACTTCCAATCTTAGTATTTTGTGGTTGTTTCTTCTGTTGCTTTTGAGGCGTCTCAGCAAAAGATAATTTGGTTTTTACCGTTTTAGATGTTCCTGTGAACATTTCAACAGTAACATGAAATAAATGTAATATGTAGTAAAACATTTATAAATTTAACAATCTCAATTAGCACCGATTTTTTTTCTATAATTCGCCGAGACCCGTTCTGTTCTGTTCTGGAGGGAAGGGATATTCTTATCCAACTCAAAATGTTCATCCCCGTAACCCCTACCCTACTTCCAACACAGTATTTAAAAGCTCTTTTTATTACAATGGTGCAACGAAAAGCTGACAAAACAACATTGGTGTATACTAATTTTTGACATAAATAACCAATAATGAGCTTTTCGTATACACTGCTCAACCAGATTTATTTATGTGCTGCTGTGTCGATCAGTTTACCAAAACATTCTCAAATTTAAAAAGTTTAATATAGTGAAAAATAATACAGTATGTTTTCGAATTCTCTCAAATGGCCCCACAAAAAAATCTGAACGAGTTAGATGTCTAGCTGGCCATTCGATAGTACTTACCTCTTCTACCAATCCAATGCAATAAAATTTCCACAAAACTCATTATTACCAGGACATGTTTTGCTTCTTCAAGTTCAGTGAATTGGAGAATTTTGTGGAAATCTTACCGTTTGTGAAGTTTCTCACATTTGCTATGGATTCGACAATCAGGAATATGCTTTCCCCAAAAACAGAAATTGAAGGATACCGGCGAATTCAAAATAAGAATCGATTTTCGTTATGGATACACTGTATATGTTCATACGCACATTTCGAGTCAAATGATTACAAATTGATGAAACACATAATGATCATGAAATGTATTTAAAGAAGCCTTTGATTGAGATTCTCTACTGCCTCATTATGGATACCCTATGATGATGAAAAATCAATTCTTTTAATATTACTCTATTGAAGTATTTTGTGGCCGACTTTACAAAACACCCTGAACAATAAGAATCTCTACTATCTTGAACATATTTCAGCTTAGGTATCAGATGATCATAATAATTAATAAACAGCGTGTCCCTAAAATATTGGGAATTGAAAAAATTATTTTTTTTACCAGAAGTTACCATTTCATTGAAAAAACATTCATAAATGTTATTATATTTGGCTGTGAGAAAGTTTGTTCGTTTGAAATTACTATTTTGAAACATCAGTGTGTGCGATTTCAACTCGCAACGTCCACCGGATTTTGGAATCCGTTGACCGATTTTCAAAAACAAAAATCCGATGATATCAAGATTCTCAAGGCCTACTATTGTTTGTGGAAGTTGTAAAAATTTCAAAAACGACTATTAGGCATTTTTTCTGAGGAGGTGGGTAGTCTAGTCGATTGAAGAATAACTGAAATAGCCCCATGCACAATTTCAAAACAATACACAATACGTTAGTTATTCAATGGCAAATATCAGAGCTATCGCTTTTCCAATTCACCCTGTAGTAGAATCTGAGGAGTTGATAGAACTGGTGGAGTGGTCATTCAATGGACGAACACATCGAATAAGTTTTACAGGAAGATCCCTCTAGGTCAACCAAAAATCAATAAAACCAAAGTTTAGGTTTATTATTTTGAAAGCTCAAGAAAACCGTTTATAACTCACTTCAACAGTGAGAAAAAGATGAATTCTCTCCAAAAACTGCGAGATGATATACTGGTGCTTGATATGATCATATTAATATACCGATTTTGGCGAATTGAAATGAAAATTGTTATAGTATGAAGAATATTTCCTCGAATTAGTAACTATTATTTATATTTTCAGCAAAATAAAAGGATCATGATGAAATGAATCAATTTCAATAGCATTAATTTTTGGTTGACCTAGAGACACCTTCCTGTAGAAGTTACAACGATGAACGTTTGTATCTGAGTATTCGATGTTTACCTCCATTGAATGACTACTTCGCCGATTATATCATCTCCTTAGATTTTGATACAGGGTTGACTGAAAAACCGAAAATATTGAAATTTGCCATTGGATAACCAACACCCTATATGAGGTATCGCGTTGAAATTTTGTATTTGGATATTTCAGATATTTATGAACCGAATAGGCTACCTACCCAGTTTTTCGGAAAAAATAGCCGAATAGTCGTTTATAAAATTTTGGTTCTTTCAGCAGGCAATAGTAGGCATTGAAGATCTGAATATTTCAGTTTTGTCCACATTTTCTAAGAGAGCTTGGCGTATTTATGATATTTTTCAATCCTCATTGTTTCAGAAGATCTTGGGACACGCTGCAAAAGTATAATTCTTCTTCTAAGTTCGGAATCAAAAATTGAAAGTACGAGGAAAATAACAGAAAATACACTACAAGGTTTGACCACTAACCAAATCGATTTCTTATACGCCTTGACACGTGTTTTGCTATGTTAACATCTTTAGGAGAAGATTAAAACTGTTTTAGTTATTAAAAGTGTCAGTTTTAATCTTCTCCTGAAGATGCTAACATAGTTAGCGAAACACGTGTCGAGGCGTAAAAAAAATCGGTTTGGTTAGTGGTAAAACAGTGTAGTGTATTATCGAGCCAAAGGTGCCAGTCTTGGATATATAACATAAAATAACGTATGAATACTGCACTACTGGACAAAAATACATATACATAACATATATTTATATATTTACTATTTTTCTCAATTAGGTAGATTCATTTTTGATGATACTACACTTAGTACTTATCTCAAAGCAGGTTACAATAGTGTAAAAGCAATTAAATAAGCAACATCAAACGATGAAAAATTTTTGAAATCAAAAACTGAAAGTATTACTTTTGTCCAGTGATATACAGAAATAAACTGCTACAAATTTGAAGTGACAAGCAAAAATTTCATTTATTTTCGAACTCCTTTGGAGCAACTGATTTCTAATTTTCGTAAACTTTGGGGTAGTCCCGTTGACAGGCAATTTTTTTCAAATTTCTATAAGGGCGAAAAGATGAAACCTAGAGTGTTTTCTCGAAACAATTCTGGAATCATTAGGATTCATGCAGGATGTTTTCTGTTGCAATTGTGCTCATGGTAGTTGAACATGTCGAAATGCAAAATATTATCATGCTGTAAGTAATGAACTGAGTATATCAGAATATCCTGTGCGGATCCTGATGATTTCGAAACCGTTTTCAGAAGATTTTAGGCTCAATCTTTATCACAACTCACAGAAAAAAATAATTATCCTGCCAACCTCAATCTTTTCGAAAAACTTATATGTAGCTCACAATTTCGAAACGAGGAAAAAATGCAAAAAAATACACATGTACCCAGACAATTTTGGCAGAAATTTCAACTTGTCTCACTACAAATGTGGAACAGTTTGTAGAATAAATCTGAAATATAGTTTTTTATTATATTTATGGAATGACATTATCCTCACCGATTACTGTTGTTGACACTTTCTTGATAACTTTCGAACACATTTTCACTCGCCTGTAAATCTGTTTGGACACATTCATGGCACAGAAAAACAGTAGTCACTATATAAAATGGTTTTTATGTCATTGTATTTCAACATATGAAAACCATACTGTGGAATTTTCATAAATTGTTGGACAATATGGAGAAATGTTCCTTTTCCTTAGGGTGGGTAAGTATACAGTACATAAAGAATTAAAATCCCACATGAGTATCTTATACTCACCTTATTCTTGAGCAGGATTGGGAATTTGAGACTAGAATTATTAAAGTAACACAGACACCTGAATTTATTGTATACAAGGCAACATAAGAAAGCTGCCTTCATGAATATGATTCCCGATAATGTAAAAGCGAGTCCTAATTATGAAGTATTCCAAGAAAGGTTGAAGAAAATATTGATACAAAATTGTTTTTATGACTTGGAAGAATTTGATAACTTTCTGTCCAGAGTTATTTGAGTTTTCACTGTAATTTAATTGTCACCATTTTTGTTTTGTGTAATCAACTGTAGATAATTTTTTTAAATCATTCATCATTCCTGTCCAATTATGTGACTCATACTTGTATAATTGTTTGGGATATTGTATTATTTAGAATTTTACTATTTGTTATTACCTGCCAATGATATTGTATCGCCAGAAAAATTTATAGATGAGGGTTGAAATTGTACTTCTAGGACAATTTTCGTATTTTTTCTTCTTCAATATTTTGGAGCTCACGAGAAGGTATCCATATTGTATTGCATTTTTTTTTCTCAACTTTTGGAGGTTTCATGTTCTTGGAAATTCTTCCTTTGGCAAATAATTTCAAAGCTTCGTCGTCCTCAGGGAGTGAAATGGCATCTGCATTCCTCACAAAATACATGTTGTTCCAATGATAAGTTTTTTTTTCAAGTTTATTTAGCAGAATCAACAGTTTCATTCACCATTGGCATGCGATGTTGAGGGGTACAAAAAAGGCGTTTATTTGGGAAATGGATATCATGATTATATATTAGGATATTTTATCAGATTCATAATCAGCATCCCCGAAAATCCCCCAATTCATATTTTCAAGATCCCAGGAGCTAAAATAAAATATTTCAAAATCCCGGTCCTGACAACACACTTAAATCTTAGTTATCAACGATGCGATTTTCCTGAAATTTTGATGGTGATTGTGTGTTAAAAAAATAACATACAATCACCATCACAGTTTCGAGAAAATCGCATCATCAATAACTGTAATTTTGTGGGGCAGTCATGAAAAGCGGTATTTTGAATTTTTCTTGAGATTTTGAAAATATGAATTGGGGGGATTTTTGGGGATGCTGATTCTGAATCTGATAAAAACAGTTATTTATAAGCCCAAATATCCTTTCACCGAATAATGGCCTTTTTTGCACCACTCAACATTGCACGCCAATGGCGAATGAAACTGTTCACTCTGCTAAATACTTCATTGTTCTAACATACAATCACCACTAAAATTTCAAGGGGATAGCATCATTAATAACTGAGATATCAGGGTGTATTCAGAATATTTTCTCAGTCACTTTTAATCTATCCGTTGATTCAAGAAGAGAAAAATATCTGTAGTGCTCTTTCTTGATTTTTTAAGAAATGAACGATTTACGGGGGTGATAC